AGTTTAATTCTTGTCTAAAACCACTATTCTTGAGGGTCAGGTTCTATGTTCTTTCTTTTCCTCTCAACCTTTTTGCCTTGTCTCTCTCCTCAACTCTCTCCTCTACTCCTTTAATGTATACATAAGTTTACTAAATGCAAACCAGACGACAAATTTTCATATATACATCGGCATCGTAAATTAGCTAAACGTTAAATATGGATCGTCTAATTATTTTTCTTTTCCATTATTCATTGTAACCACAAATGTATCCATACTTTTCCCGTTGTCTGTTTTTTTAATTTTATTTTAGGTCAACGAATCGAAAGTTGATTTATGCAAGTGACAGTAAGTCTGACTCTCACTCTTTCAAACCGTTAACTTCTCTCTTTAAAATTATATTCCTCACCCTCATTTTAAGTCCTTTTCCTCTTCTCCATCTTTCTTTACACCTCTCTCTAGATCATTCATACATTTCCCTCTCACCTTTGTTTCTCACTCCCACATATACAATATGACTGAAATTTTGTTCTTTTTTAAAAAAAAAAAACGGGAGATAAATTTTATGTTTTCTTTTTGAATTTGTAGGTCTGATTAATTGAGTCGTGATTACGATTCAAATGTAATAAATTATAACCATGGAATATTAGAGTTTGAGCCTTATATATATATATATATATATATATATATATATATATATATATATATATATGACTTAACATAATGCATTGCATTTGTTTTATTTATTATATAATGGCATGAATAATTTTATATTCTAATCTATTTAAATTTAAACACACACACACACACATATATATATATATGTATATACACACAAACACACACACACATATATATATGTATATATATATAACTATTATAAAAAATACGCTTCTTCTCTTCTGACAAATTATTCTATAAGCAACATTAATCACATTTCTAATCACGTCGTCGACAGACAAATAAAATTCACCTCAACGAAATTTAACCGAAGAGTCGTACTTGATGAAAACAAAAATAAACACCCCATAAACTTTATTCTAACGTAACCAGATACACAGTAATTTTAAAGAGGAAGAAAAAAGCAATTAATAACATAATTTCCCGATACATTTTCCCTCACTGATCCTTAGAATCATCTAAGATTTGTCAACAATTACAAAAAGTTAAAAAGTCTAATCTAATTATTACCTACCATATGGGACCTCAAATATTTCCTCGCCCGTGAAAAAAATGTTGTAGATAAGTTCTCATCCCCCACCCCCGGGAGATTGCATCTCCAAAAGTAATAATAATAATAATAATAATAAAAACAGCATTAAATTCATACATCGGGTGCACACGCTCCACACTCTCTCGCACAATGATCTGTCAAAACTTAGTACAATAAATGCACACATCGACCAGCACATCACGTACGACCAAAATTAAAGTATTAACAAAGGATAAATATTAGTCCATTATACCAAAATTGTCTACAGCAACCAATACAAAAAAAGACTCAAAACTGCTAATAGTATACAAAATAAGCAGCCCACATTAAATAAATTATCATTCACCATAGGAAACGATATATTAAAGTGCATATGCTATATTTAACCCTTTGAGCCATGCGTTCCTGAACAATTTTTTACCCTTCTGCCTGAACTCCTGAGTCAAAATTCGCAAATAACTATTATTTAAAGCTTCACAGTAGATGTAAAAATAGTTACAAAAATATAAGCATTATACTTAGCATAGAGTGAGTACGTCTTCATATGTCAGTCTACCCAGCAGGGGCTGCTTGTCTTGATGAACAAAATACCACGCAAGTGTTTAAGCCACCGTTCAACAGGTGGCTGGGCATTAAGTCATTTTTCTCTGGTGAGGGCTCAATATATATCGGAGTGAACGGACATATTTTTTCATTGCTCAAAGAAAGGGATGTCGTATTTTAAAAAGGAAAGTTTTGATTATTTTAATTAAAAATTATCGTTTTTGTCTGTTACATGATAATTACTATGCATTTATAAGCCTAAATTATTTAAATAGATAATTGTTTATTTTGATGATAAGTCTAAATGTAATTTTTTAAAATAAGTATTATTTAGAATTATTATACTACAAAAATTCAATATTTGTTAAATTACTTATATATTAACATGAATAATTCTACTCTATTTTATATTTAAGCGTAACATTTCTCTTTCTATGAATGAAGACGCAACTTTTCGAAATTGTTTTTCTTCTTTTCTGACAGTTCAGTATCGTCGATTTCCTTCCCTATCATTTATTATTCGAACGTTTTTAAACAATATTGAACTATAATATAATTCTTTTAATCTTTTCTTATTTATCTATGGTAAGCAGTAGTTTTTGTTTGAACGAGGACGTATTTTTAAAGTTGTCGGAAAAGGGTTTCGAGTCATATCGTTATTTTCTATTTTTTCAGAATAACCAAGTTTTAACAACCAAAATAATAATAAAAAATATTACTTACATTCAGATTGTTCTCCTCATCTTTATTGCCATGTTTACGACGTAGGGGATTGTAATTCTTCTTCAGGTGATTGGAATTTCGAACTGAACCCTTTATTTCGTCCACCGGGTAGATTGTTCTAGTTCCACGTATCATGCCTCTTCCGGATGCATCAGCTACAGCCCTTTAAATCAACTCCCCAAGTTTTTCTCCAAGTTTTTGTTCACCGCTACTGTAGCCAGATATTGAACTCACAACTCTTTGGTTCAAGTCACTGGATCTAACCAACGTTTTTATCCACTAGGCCACGTCCTTCATGACATCAGTGTATGAATTTTTGGGAGTTATAAAACTAATGTCTCAGTAACCATTTTCTTCAGAGCTTATATTGCAATTTTGTTGTTATTATTGCTTTTTTCTAGCTCTCCGTATTCTGGTTCCCATATTATATTCATTTCTATGCTTGGCCGGCTTAGGAAATTTTTGTGTCCTAGCATATGTGCTGATTCCTTAAGTTTTCGTATTTTTTAGTGATGTTCTTTGTCTATTATTTCAGCCTCATCTCACAAGGGGCGGTGATCTCATTTCCCCTCCATATGTGTTCAGCTACACCTGATTTTTCTATTTCCCATCTTCATGATGTTCTTGCAGTCTTACCTTAAGGAGTCGGACTGTTTTTTTCCTTTATATTTCTTACCACAACTGCACGGGATGGCGTACATAAAGTCCTTAGTTATGTTCTCCTTTATGGGGTGTCTGCGAAGTATCGAACCACTTTTGAAGGTTGTCTTGATGGCCTACCGCTCTTTTGTATTTTTGCTATGTGAAGGGATTATCGGAGAAGGAATGGAATGATTTCATTGTCCCCCACCCCCGACACAAACAATGAGAAAGGACTACGCCTGGTGGAATTTGCCAGTTATAACAACATTGTGCTAGCCAACACTCTTGCAGAGCACAAGCCATCAAGCCAATCAACATTGCCAGACTGACTACATCCTGATGCAAAGAAGTCACAGAACTGGTGTCAAAAGGCCAAAGCCCAGAACATTTCCAGGAGAAGATGACGGGAAGTAAACACGACCTTGTCATGTTTAACTTCACAGTGCGTTTGAGAAGAATCAACAAGCCCCAAAACACCTGATGGCATTTGACCTTGACAAACAGAAATTTTGGTAATCTTTGAAGAATTCCTGGCAATTTTGTTTCTCCTTCACGAAGACTGAGAGGCCGTCACGAATAACTTCAACACAGCAATAGCAGAAACAGCTACTAGAGTCCTGAGGAAAAACCGATGCAAATCAAAACCATGGGTCATTGATATTGACGTGACATGAGTGACATAGGGAGGATTGGTTGTTTTAGTTTGTTTTTGTTTAGCGGCATATCAACCCCTCTATGGGTTATTTAATGCCAAAATGTAAATATTTTGTGGGCTATTTTATTTTGTTTATTTATTTCTTTTTAGATAATAATAGGATTAATGATACACGTTTTAATAATTAACCCATAGTTGGAAGGAAAAGAAATAGATTCATGATGAACTTTACAGTACGCTTGAGGAGAATTAACAAGTCGCAAAAAACCTGAGATTTGACCTTGACAAACTGAAATATCCTGTAACCACTAAAGAATTCCTAGCAACAGTCGGCGGAAAGTTTGTTCGATTGCTTCTCCATGAGAGGCCATCACGAACGACTTCAACATAGTAGTAACAGAAACTGCTATCAGGGTCCTGAGAAAAAAGCGATGCCAATCAAAAGCATGGGTCATTGATAAGATCCTGAACCTGAGTGACATAGGGAAGATTGCATGTTTTAGGTTGTTTTTGTTTAGCGGCATATCAACCCCTCTATGGGTTATTTAATGCCAAAATCTAAATATTTTGTGGGCTATTTTATTTTGTTTGTTTATTTCTTTTTAGATAATAATAGGATTAATGATACACGTTTTAATAATTAACCCATAGTTGGAAGGAAAAGAAATAGATTCATGATGAATTTTACAGTACGCTTGAGGAGAATTAACAAGTCGCAAAACACCTGAGATTTGACCATGACAAACTGAAATATCCTGTAACCACTAAAGAATTCCTAGCAGCAGTCGGCGGAAAGTTTGTTCGATTGCTTCTCCATGAGAGGCCATCACGAACGACTTCAACATAGTAGTAACAGAAACTGCTATCAGGGTCCTGAGAAAAAAGCGATGCCAATCAAACGCATGGGTCATTGATAAGATCCTGAACCTGAGTGACATAGGGAAGATTGCTTGTTTTAGGTTGTTTTTGTTTAGCGGCATATCAACACCTCTATGGGTTATTTAATGCCAAAATCTAAATATTTTGTGGGCTATTTTATTTTGTTTGTTTATATTTTTAGACAATAATGAAATTAGTGGTACAAGTCTTAATTAACACATAGCTGGAGGAAAAAGAGGTAGATGAATACCTTTCCAAGAGGTATTTACGCGTACGTGAATATAACGAGTGTAACTGGAATTGGAACTGGCTCTCCGATTAACAATTCTGAAGCATTAACCATTACACCACTTGCACATCCCATCGTACAGCATTTGGTATTCCGTAGCGGTCACCCATCTAGGTACTGACCAGGCTCGATGTTGCTTAACGTCGGTGATTCTACGGGAATCGGTGTTTCAACTTGACGTGGCCGTAAGCTTACATAAAGGGGAACCAGAAGAAAGAGAAGAATACAGGAAGACCAACAATGAAATTAGATGCGAAATGAAAGTTGCAAAACAAAGATGAACAACAGAACAACGTGCAGACATCAAGAATAACCTTTGCAACAGCAGCACAAGGAGGGCATTTCGACTAGTGCAAGATCTGATCAAGGTAAAACAAATTAAACAGAACACCATCTCGGACAAGAATGGAAACAACCTAACTAAAGAAAAGAATACAGCTCAGAACTGTACAGCCACTAGAGCAGAAGGTGGGGCAATCGTATTGAACAACGAAGAATCTTAGAATAACCATGATTACACGATAGGGAGGTGTTATACCGGAACATACCTATTCTATTGTTAATAGACTCTCCCACAGATAATAAGTAGTAGTAGTAGCAGTCGCCAGAGCTCAGAGTGGAGTTGGTGAGTCAGTCGATGTCGGACCTTAAAGTATAGACCAACACAACTAGATTTCTGCGTCATTAACTATTATTTTCAAGTTCCTAACGTTTTGTACGTCGGACCTAATTTAGAACCGACTTAGTGAAATACAAGCCTCCACTGTGAAACTACTCTACAACAGGAGGCATGTCTCGGATTGAGGAATCGAAGAACCGAGTTCGAATTCCAATCGGATCCATTACATTCACTTACGTGCTGATAACCTTGCGAAAATGTTATGGTAATTTACCCACGCACGCATGGACTCTCTCCGCTATAAATAGGAGCAGGTACTGCCTTTTTGAGACCGAAGTTTCAAGCAGTCAGCCTGAATATTCTTGCTCATTTGCATATGTTTGTATCAGTATTTCTGCTAATATATTTGTTTAACTCAATTCCTTTCTTTGTGTTTTTATTTCTGGCCCAAACAAGGTCACAACATAAAGGTATGAATAATCTTCTTCTCCGCAGCTATGCGTAAATAACAGACCGGACTGGGTTCTATAGCCTTGTGTGACAAGCGGTGTAGGAGAAGGAAAAAATCTGAATAAAAAAAACGGCCTGGAGAGGGTTGGGTTCCGTCAGGTTATCTTGTCCAAGAAACACCACTTCTACTGAGGCTGCAGTACACATGGTGCCACTATGCGTAAAAAAAACACGATGCAGGATGAAGTTAGATGCAATACGAACACAGAAGAGTGGAATCAGAAAGTGTTGACGATACTGAAACATGTAGAAGCCACAACAGAAATGTTTACCGTGTGCAACAAGATATGGCAGGCAGGAGAGTGGTCTCGGACACGGTCGCTAATCATAGTGTTTCCCAAGAAAGGCAATATTCAACTGCCAGGACTGTTTCATCAGCACCAGTTTGATTAGACAGGCCACCAAAGTAAAACCCGGTATCATCCTGAAGAGACGGATAACCCCAAGGCAAGAACATCATTGCCGAAAAAAAAGCCGGTTTCCAGAAAGGCAGACGTACTACTGAGCAATTTTTCAAGCTCTGCGTCCTCGAAACACCTGTAACACCAGTGAGTGTTCTACCACGTGTTTGACAGAGTCTGGCATGACGTGCTCTGGTCCACTTATAAAGAAGTTCAAGATAGGAAAAAAACTGATCCATACCATCCAACGCATCCATTGCAGTTTTTTCACAAGGCATGATCGGGTTGGACACTTCATTGTTGTCTCCTCTCTCCGACTATTTTTTTAATATTGTCCTAGAAGGGACCATGAGCGATGTCCTAGAAGACCATGCAGACACGGAGGGAGAACAATCACAGACCGCAGATTCGCTGATGGTATAGATAGACAAGTTGGGGCAAAGCCTCACAACAGTAATGAAAGGGAAACGGAGATGGTATGGCCACATAACACAATCGGATGGCCTTGCAAAGAACAGTTCTTCAAGGAACCGTTGTGGGACGTAGGAGGAGGGGAAGACATAAGTAAAAGTAGAATGGCAATATCAAGGAATGGATGGAGAAAGCATTTTCGAAGACCCAGGCTCTGGCACACGACCGAGACAGATGAAGGGAACTAGTGGACAGCTCAGGATGTCGGCGCCACAACGACTCAATATGGGGTTATGGGTGGAAGCTAAGCCAAGTCAAACTAAGCCGAGCCAAAGTCTACTACCGGCAGGCCCCTCGGTGGATCAAAAGTGAAGTCCCAGAGAACATTGGTAGCTATTTGTCCCAAGAGGTTATGTAGAAATTAGTACCAACAAATGCATATCATTCCATCATAGCAGATATCTCAGTCCATGGCCAAAAAATAGAGACATTGCAGTCACTGTTGGTCACTTGATCCTTGATCGCTGTTGATCACCTCGGGGTCACCAAGGGTCAAGACTAGACTATGACTGCACTCTTTAAGCTGAAGACTATATGGAGAGGCAGCACCATCTCCATGCAGTACAAAATCAGGCTCTTATGATAACTGATATTCTCTATATTCCTGTATGTATTCGAGACGGACGCTTGCAGTTGAACTACAAAGAAAGATACAGGCACTGGAAATGAGATGTGAACGTACCATCCT